TGCCTTACTATTCATAACAAGCCCCTTTCAACCACACCTGAGTTTATGTTAATGAGGGGACTCACGGAAAGCCCACTCTGTGATGAGAAGGTTGGAACTTGCAGCCCCGCCCCTGCCCTGGGAGGTGGGGGGAGAGGGGCTGGAGATTGAGTCGATCGCAAATAGCTAATGATTTAATCAATCGCACCTATGTAATGAGCCTCCACAAAAACCCTGCCCGAAGGGGTTCAGAGAGCTTCTGGGTTGGTGCACGCATAGAAATTCTGGGAGGGTGGAGCACCTGGAGAGGGCATGTGAGTTCTGCACCCCTTCCTCCTACCTTGCCCTATGTACCCCTTCATTGGCAGGTGAATGAAAGTAAATGCTTCCTGAGTTTTGTGAGCCATTCTAGCAAACTAGTGAATCAGAGGAGGGGGTTGGGGTCAATTCCCAATGTATAGCCAGTAGATCAGAGGTACCAGCGACAATCCGGGACCTGTAGTTGGCGTGGGAAGCGGGGACAGTCTGCGGGACTGACCCCTTCACTTGCGGGGTCTGACACTGACTTTAGCTCGATGGTGTCAAAACTGAGGGAGATCATATGACACGCACTTGGCGTCTGCAGAGAACCAGAGGGCTGTTTGGTGTGGAAAAATCACACATCTGTTGTCAGAGTGTTTTGGGGGGTATTGTGTGAGTAAAAACCTAGCACCCCACGTAGTCGGTCTCAGACAAACCATTTAATTCACAGGGCCTTGCCTCTCACTCTTTGTTTTCTGGAGCTGCCTTGGTTCTGCCTGTTTTCTCCTTTAGGTCTCTACCTCCTGCCAATTCTGTGAACTCCTTACAGCAACACTGTTTTCTGGTGCTTAGACCAAGAGCCCCAACTGAAAGGAGAGGGGGATGTATAATTCATCTGGGGAGACAGAATCCATCCCTGAGGGTTCCGCAGTATCCTAAAACAGCATGCCATCCAAAACACTCTCCCCTCCCCACATTTCCACATGCCCCTGATAGGCGGGTGGGGCCCCCTCCAGCTGAGAATCACAGGGCCCCCCCGTTTTGAAAGTGGGGTTGTTGCAGTGTCCACCCTGAAGAGATAGAGCAAGGATGAGAAGAGAGAGTGAGGGGAAAGGGCTTGGAGGACTATCATGCTTCTTATAAACTTAAATTCAGGGCAGCTCAAGCCACAACTCACACCTGAATTTTTTTCTTTCCTTTTCTAAAGCAACTAATTTTTTTTTCCCCCAGGTGGGTGAGGGGTCAATAGGTCTGGGGCGTGGAGGCGGAGCTTTGACAAGGCGGCTTTTCCAGCCAGGTTTAATCATAAACCCACAATGCTTAACTTAAATGGAGAGCCGGGGTGGGTTGGGGGGGGGTGACTCAGGCCTGACCTCCGGTGGTGGCCCATGCAGGCTGTGAATTTCTAGTGCAGGCGGGGGGACACAGCCCTGCGCCCTACAGGGCTGCCCAAAGGAGCCAGGGAGCTTCGAGGAGCTGCCAGAAAGTGGGTTTTCTCTCCTGTCAGAGGTTGCTATGGTGACCGAAGCAGGAGGGGACACCCGCTGGTCTGGCCCTACATAGCTCATCTTTATTCCATGTCTTGGTCTGAGCCGGTGTTGGGAGGGAGCTCCTGAGATGGGGGAATGACATCTTGCAGAGACTGGACCCTGGTGTGGGTGAACTGCGCTGGGACAGTGTGTGTGTGTGTGTGTGTGTGTGTGTGTGGTGGGTTACACTGTTGCATGTGTGCTCTTGGTGTGTGGTGGGGGACGATAGTAAGGGAAGGGGGACGATACCAGGGTTGTGCATGTCGGTGGGATCTTCCTCAAATGCCCCCCCCAAGATCTACAGACCTCAGGGGACAGCCCACCTGCAGGGGCTGCATGCTGCCCCCCAGAAGAACCCTTCATTTCCCACTTCCTGGAAGTCCTCTCTGCTGCCTGGATGACTCCTCCTGGCAGCAAGTCACTGTGAGAATCCAGCCATTTCGTCTAAGAGTCCAAGGCGCCACTGCCTGCCCTTAAGCCTCGGCCCAGTCGGCTGACCTCTGCCTGATTGCAGGCACCCACTTCCCGCATGTCTGCTCAGATGTCCCCTCCACACGGAGACCATCGTACCGAGACACCCTCCTTCATTTTACTCCATAGCTGCTATCACTCACCATACAACTATGATGTTATATGTTATTTGTTTACTTGTTTATGGTGTGTTTCACCCCCTAGAATGTAAGCTCCGCGAGGGCAGTGATGTTCTCTTGCTCATTCCTGTGACCCTAGTACTCAGAACACAGTAGGTGGTCAGTAACCTTGTTGAATGGATGAATGGCCTGTCTGGGACCTCCATGCTCCTCACAAAGACTAAAGCTCTGCTTTCAAGCTCAGCTAAGGGGTTGTTTCCACTCAAAAGTCCTCAAGGATGCCTTGCCCACCAGGTCAGTCTTTGAATTCCCCAGGGACTGGCCTCCATCATGCTCACCGCACATTTGCCTGTTCGACACTCCTCAGGGAGTGTCCTGCCTCCCTGACCAGACGTCTAGCTCCTCAATAGGAAGAGCATTGCTTTCTCTTGCGTCCTGAACGCAAGGCTCTACAAATAGTAGATGCTCAATAAATGCTGAGCATGGTGATGCTGTGAATTATGTGTGAACACATTCCAGCTGGAGTAGTTCTACCTCCAAATCTGCCCAGCAGAAGACCTCCTGCAAGTTCACAGGTAAGACTTTCAAGGTCAGAATGAGTCTGAGCTGGGAAGTGGGGCGGCTTGGGGGGGCTGGCCTCACTTGATGTTTTATCTTTCCTCCATAACCTCATGTCTGAATATGACCAAATCTTGGAGCATACTTCAAACACCACCTCATTCTACAGCCTTCTATGTTCTTTCCAAATGGAACCGATTGCTTCTTCCCCTAACAAATTTTTTTTAGGGCTTTTCTGCACCAACTAGTCTAGGTATTGGCCATTTCTCTCAGCTTGGATCGCATTAGTTAGTTACATTTCTGATGTACCTGTTAGCTGGACAGATGTCTTCAGCATCCCTTCTGTGAGGCCTATCCCAGTGTCATTTCAGTGTTCGGAAGGGACTGTGAATCCGAGCTCCCTGCCCATCACCCCCACCCCCAGGGATGCTCACGTGACCCAGACTTAAACATTTGTTTTCGCCCTTACTCTGGCAAGAGTAACTGGTCCAATGGATGTGTGCACAGCCAGGCAAGTCCAGTCTGAATATTTTCATGGGATTTAAATATAGGCATCTGAAGAAACAAGGTGGCTTTTCAGCCTGGAATTCCAGGATGCATCTTTCTCAGCCTCATGGAGAAAACTCATTTACATTGAGAAGGAATAAGCCTTTAGGAAGGAGAACCAAAAGAGAGGCAGAGATAGAGACAGTCAACATCTTCAGAGCCATTGGATCCAACAGTGCCCAAAGACAGAAACTCCCCACTTCTATGCACTAATACATTCTCTCCTTTGCTTGGGCTAATTTAAGCTGGACTTCTGTCCCCTGTCATCAAGAGGGGCCCAAGCCACTTCTCTGTACTAATTGTGGGATCTGTCTAGGAACAGTCTGATTCCAATTCTTCCCCATACTTCTTATAGCTACTTGTTTGGTATCACCAGTTCAATTTTAACACATATTTTCGGTATAAATAAAGGAATATATAAATGGCCATTTCCTCTCTGAGTACATCACCAGTTCAATTTCAACATACATTTTCGGTAAAAATAAAAGAAATATATAAATGACCGTTTCCTCTTTGACTGAATACATCACCAGTTCAATTTTAACACATATTTTCGGTAAAAATAAAAGAAATATATAAATGGCCATTTCCTCTCTGACTGAATACAGAAATAAAAATACAAAATCCTAGAATCAAGAGGAAGAGGGGAAGAGAAACATTTTCTAGTGGCTACAATGGGCCAAGCACTGTGCAAACATCTAGTTGAACCCTTGAACTGGCCCTGAGATAGGAATAGTATTCTCCCTGCCTGACAGGTCATATACAGGTGAGTGAAGAAACCACCATTTGAGCCCAAGTTTTCCCAACTCCTCCATTGTGGCCACGCCCCCAAATGGCTTCATTTGTAGAAATTAACAGGATACGCGCTTTAGAGTGTTTCAGTGTTTTAAAGCCCAGGTTCTTAGGAATCCCAGGGGCAAATAATGCCATTTAAATAGTCTTATGGCAATGCTTCATTTTCCTATAAAACTGATCTGGGCAGTTGAGGAGGATGAGACCCAAGCAGCTAGACTGAAGTGTCCCCCCCCCGCCCCGCCCAGTTGACACTGGGAAGCCAAACTGCTGCAGCATGAGGGTCTCTCTCCTGGGCTAGAGCCTGCCTTCCAGGGCAGGGTCTGGCAAGTAAGGGAACCCAAGCCTCAGGACAGTTCTGCCGTTCATGACAGCGAAACCCTCCTGGACAAGTCACATGACTTCCTGGAATGTGAGTGACGGGCCTGGCATGGGAGACAGAGCTCATTTCTTTTGACCATGGTGTTGCTGTTGGGGGCCTGGTGGCTCCCAGGCCGGTCCCAGGGGCAGCTGGGATGCCCAGACCTGAGGCTGCCAGCGTGGGAAGATGAGCTGATGGGGGTGAGGCCCAGTCTGGGATCCCAGGAGGTGCAGGGAGGCTCACTGGGCTGGGTTCCTCATTCCCCTGGGCTTTCCTGCTCCAGGCACCCCCAGGCAGCCTCCCAGCCAGGGTCCAAGCCCTGCTGCTGGTAGATGGGAATGAGACAGTCATTTCTGATAGACCCAGCCCAGAGTGGGCAACAAAAGAGCCCCTGGCCTGAGAGTCAGCTCCAGGGACCCTGTCCCATCCTGAGCGACCGAGGTGACTCACTTCCCCTCTCAGGGCTTCTGCTTCTCCCCTGCAAAATGTGCAATGTGGGTGCAGTGGTCTCTGCACTTCCTTCCACCTTAACATGCGCAGAGTCTAGACCACAGCAGCTGGTGGGTGGTCACAATGTCCCCGAGCTGCACCCATGAGAGTAGGGGGGCAGAGGAACCCACTTACCCACACTCCCCCCGGGGGTGTCTCCCGGTGAAGCTCAGTTTCCAGCGTCCAGTGCTAATGGTTGTTACCTTCACTTATCATTCAGAGCTTCTGTTTCCATACCTGGAATAGCAAGAACAATCACAATGATTTTGAAATCACCCTGCACACAAAAGTTCACGAGTTTTTCCCCACACACTATGGTCTGGGCTGGAGAGGCCTTCCTGAGATTTCAACCACAGACAAACCGCAAACCAAAGACGTCTCGAGACTCGCCTGGGGTCACACAACTTCATTAGTGGGGTTGTCTGGGCTCAGATTCCTCTTCTGACTCCAAGCTGAGCTTTTACTGTCTAGAATACCTGGAAACCTTGCTTCATCCCACTGGGATATTGTGAGGCAAGATTCTATTAAAAACCCTTGTTCAGACCTTTGCACATTCAAAGTGCTCGGCCCGTGCTGAATAATTGATGGGCTCTGCTCCGGGCCGCTCAGAGCAGATGCACAGGCCTCCTGCCACACACAGGGCTGGGAACGTGGAAACCTTTCCTATCATTTTGTCCAGTGAAAGCAGTTGTCCAGAAAATCACCAAGAAAGAGTTGTGCTCCCTGTTGCTGCCGGGAGAGGCCCCGGCTCCTCAGCTCCTCAGACCTGCAGATCTAATTTACTGCCTCACTGAAAGGAGAGGAGAAAGCGCAGGGCTGCTGCAGGGAGGGGGCTGCTGGGCCGCCAAGGGTCGAGGCCACAGTGTCCCCTCCAAGGCTGCGAGGCCCTGGGAAAGGGCTGCTCTGCTCTGACAGGCACGGAAAAAGGTGCCTGAGAATCCTCAAGTCCCATGAGGGGGAGGAGTGCGGGGGGAAAGGGGGAAGGGGCCATGGGAAATGCAGAGTTTGAAGCAGGGGCCCTCCTCCAGGGAGAGCCCGAGGAGGCAGAGACGCCTGGGAGGGGGCTGAGGCAGCCCGTTGCCACCCCAGTCCTCCGCTGCATGTGACCACAGCACTTTTCTGGCCAAAGGCCATGGCACTGGGGATTAGGGGGTAGAAAGCGGATACAGAGTGGCCTTTAACGCAATTTGCAGACATCAAAGTAGAATGCAGTTCAGGAGGTTGTTCTGGCTATAAAAGCAGGGAATATTTCACAGCTGACTGAAACTCAGGGTGCCACTTCACAGCTAGGGGCGCTGGGGTGTACATTGTCCCCCTGTGGGGTTCGGCCCACCAAAGCGTCTCCCGACGAGGATGTGTCTCAGCCCCTACACAAGGCAGATTTAGAACTATCCAAATCCACAGGATAATTGGCTTCAACTTCAAATAAGCAGAATCAACAAAGTCCAGCTCAAATGGGAATTTGTTTTGATGATGGGCTTTCTATTTTGCTCTGCATTACAAGTTCCAAAGCCTAATGGTTTAGCAAGGACTTCCTAAGAAGTTTCATGGTGTGCTCTGTGCTTAGGCAAGTCACTTCACCTTCGTACTCTGTCTGGGTGTGCTGACCTCTCCAGGGATTGAAGGGCCCTTAGAGTTTCCCTGTGTCTGGGCAGGGCCTGTCCGTCCTCAGGAGCTGGGCATGGAGGGCGGGGGTGGTTCTAGCCTGAACTCAGCCTGCCTAGCAATGTCCAGCGATGCCTGCAGCTAACCCAAGGGGCAGGACTGTGCCCACACTGGGGTTTGGAGGGAACAGTTGGCTCAGGCAGAACAGAAAGTGGGATGTGTGACCTTTCTCCCCACTCATGTCAACCTGAGCTGCGCGTAGCTGAGGGTAGGAATCGGTAGCGGGAGAAAGAGATAGAGCAGGTTAGGGATGGGGCAGGCCTGAGTGTTGGGGGACAGGGGTTGACAGCCCAGTCCCACCACTTACTAATTCTACCACCTTGGGTAATTGATTTACTCCTCTCGGCCTCAAGTTCCTCATCCATGAAATGGGGTTCATACTACCTCAAAGCTTTGGAAGGTCCCAATGAGACAGAGTGTACGTGAATTCTTAGTCACACCTCTAGTAGGACTGTCCCCTCCCGTCCATGACAACACTTGGCTGCGCCTCTCCTTGGCCTATCAAAGGGAGGGCGGAACGGCTGCCAAACCATTCAAGTTAGCTCATGTACATCCGCGTGCTCCAGAATGCTCGGAATATCACTTTCCGGTCAGCTCAGTACTCTGGGTTGCTCCAATTGTCTTTTCTTTTCTTTTCTTTTTCCAATTGTCTTTTCTAACCTGCAACCCTGATCCGACTCCACACTCCTTGAGGGCAAGACCATTGTCTTATCTGTGATACAATGTCTATGACTGATCTTAAAACCCTTCTGTGTGGTTTCTTTAGGCCAGCCGCAATAAGGGTGCATTCAAATCGGGACTCCCACTCCTGGCCAGCAGCCTCAGGCAGAGGGTCTGCGCTCCAGAGGGGGCTACGGCAGGTGCTTTGGCTGTCTTTCTCTCTGCTTGACACCAGGCATTTGATAATTAACAGAGTAAGTGTTAGAAATGTATTCTCCTTGGTGAAAACAGAGGTATTCAAGATATGTGGGTTGGCCAGAATTACTTGAGACATTCTTGACCTGGAAAGGCAGGGTGAAAGAATCTAGTGAGCCCTCAGGGCAGGGGTGGTCAGGACACCCAGAGAGACAGATGGCTATGACCTCATTGAGTCCACAGAACAAGCTGTATAAATTCTGCTGGGCCTGCCTGCAAATAGTTGTTCAAAAAATGTCTACATAGGGGCACCTGGGTGGCTCAGTCGGTTAAGCGTCTGCCTTCGGCTCAGGTCATGATCCCAGGGTCCTGGGATGAAGCCCCATGTCAGGCTCTGAGCTCAGTGGGGAGCCTGTTTCTCCCTCTCCCTCTGCCTCTCCCCCTGCTTGTGCTCTCTCTCTCTCTCAAATGAATAAATAAATCTTTAAAAAAAAATGTCTACATATGTGGCAGAATGTAGTCTGAGGCTTGCTTTCATCCAACCTGCTAACGAGGTTCACCTTCACCTTCCTCAAAGTTTGCAGTGGTTGCCGTCCAGCAAATAAACAACAATCAGCCAAACCCTAGAGTAATGACGAAACGGGCTTAACTCAGTGTCCCCAGGGCACAGCATATGTCAATGCTCACAGGACTGAGTTGGTGTCACTTTTCACTTTAGGAGGGTGAGGGGAGGGGGACAGTCAGGGCTCCGAGAGTCCTCCCAGGCAAGGATCCTGACCCAGGACGCATCACCCTGAGAGTTCCCTGGCCTCTGGGCCCCAAGTGCCCGGCTCACGCTCAGAGGCTCTGTTGGCTTCCTGGAATGAGGAAATGCTGCTCGGCCTTCAGTAAGCCCCAAAACTATGGCCACAGTGGAGGCCACTGTCTCGGCCCATTATGTACCCGGCAAACCAGCTCTGAGCTGGGCCTTTCCTTCGAGGTCTCAAGGGACAAGCCCTATGAGGAAGTCTTTTGGGACCCATTACTAGCTCCCACAATTAGATCAGATTCTGGGTGTGTTTATGGGGGGTATTTTCTGGCCATATTGGAGAGACTGTCTTGAAGAAATGGCGCTCAGTCTGTACGCCTGATAAGCTGAACCCTGGCCCCTTCCTGGGGCTCTGCAAAGGCTGCTGGGCAGGGGTCCTGGGTTGAGGAGGCCCCTGATGCTGGAGTGCTCGCTACTCCTCTACCCCTTGAGATGAGAGCCCTTCCTCTAGGAGCGGTGCCCACAGGGAGGTGGGGGCTGCCCTATGCGCTCCCTTCTCTAAGGGCTTTTCCTGGGTGGGCGCTGTTGCAGGATCGGAGAGCATTCAGGGGGAAAGCAGATGGTGTGGGGAGTGTAAGCCTCTAACCTCTCCTCTTGCCCACCTTCTTTCTCCTTTTCTTTCCTTTCTCTCCCACACTTCTCCAGAGAGAAACAGGGGTGGGCGGTAGGGTAGCTCTGGGCTTTCACACACCAGGGCAACTGTGCTGACCATGGAGACGCTGACATTTGCAGCCTTCCCAACTCATGTTGGCAACTCGACCCTCTAGGGCAGCCCAAACTCTGCAGGCTGATTGCCAAGTTCCTGGCTAAACCCCTTTCCCACCTCCTGGCTCATCCTCCCTGCTCCCACCCTCTCTGTAGCCCCTCCCTGTGCCTTCGAGGTGGGCCTGAGCACTGCTTCAGAATTTGCCCTTTCCTTCCTTTCTCCTCACCCCAATCCACATCCCAGGGTAATTTGCATATTGAGAGCCATCCAGGCTAATCCTAGGAGATTTCCAATTAGTAAGAACTCCCTCAACCCTATTCTATAAACCAGGGAGCAAACCGTTCAGCTTATCATTCATCTTTCAGCTTTGCAAGTAGCTCAACATCCCTGTTAAGCAAAGAGCCAGTTAGAGCATAGCTGCCAGAGGGGTCTGAAAATTTCAGATGCTCGTGTGGGGGCACTGGAGTTTTCCACTAGCCAAATTTACCTAGAGAAAACCACCCAAGTGTGTGGGGAGCCTAACGAGCAGTTTCTTCCCCCTTGGCCTGGGGCTCTGTGGGTCTCTCTCAGCAGACAGTTAGACATTGCCTTAATTTACTTCCCTGCCAGAGTCCTTTTTTGGAGGGAGGCCAGGCTGGTAGATACGGAAACGGGACTATTCATCTTGTGGAAATCCATGCGTGTATCTGGGAGGACAAGACGGGAACAAGTGCGTGAAAAGTTGGGGGACTTCAGGTGGGCAGGGAGGAGAAGGGGGTGAGGGAGAACCCCTCTCTCCACTTCAGGCAAGCGCCGATGAAGTGAGCCAGGCCGGACTGCAGAGCATTTCAGGCTCCTGATGCAAGAAATGAATTTCTGGGCTCCACAGGGTCCCTCAGGATGGTAAGGGACGGTCCCCAGACACAGGATGAGCCCTGCCACACAGCTCTCAGTTTCTCCAGGTGCAAATGGTGTCTTCCCCCTCTCTGGCCTCTCCCCTCTGATCTCCTAAAGCAGCCTTCATTTGAGAGCACTTAGGAGTCAGGCACATGAGGCTGATTCTCCTGGCTCTTTTCACTAGCCACCTGCGCCGAACAGAGTTTCTAAGTCTCTTGGAGTCCCATCGGCAAAATGGGGATACAGTGTCCCCTCCGAGGGCCATGGTGAGAATAAAATGACCAGTGGATGCGAAGGGTTCTCAAGCAGTGCCTCCTCGGTAAATGTACTCAGAAAAGAGCTGTCATCTCTATCCACTCTAAGCACAGCTCAGGGCTGCTTTGCCAAACCTCTTAACAACATGCTAGCAGAAACGAGCGGACACGGTTGGGCTAGAGGCGCCCTGGTCGCCTTGCGTCTTCCAGGACTTTGCCCAGCACTCTCCCCTCTCCATCCCTTGCCTGGCTGGCAGCAGGACCATCTCTGGGGCATCGGAAGGGAAGCTGCTTTGGGACCCTGGCTCCCTTGGGCACTTAGGGGATTCCCCTGTTGATGGGGACCCAGGTCCCAGGAATGGCTGGGAGTGGATGGCAACTTAATCTGGGAGAACATGCCTGTGGGTTTAAGAGGAGATTGTGGCCCACTAGCCTAGAATCAGCCTCTCTTCCAGACCTTCTCAGGAGGAACCACCCGCCACAGAGAATGAAAACCAGATACAGACAATAAGGGATTATTTTAAAAGCAGAACATCCAACCTGACTTGGTGGAGGGAGACACCTGTGCTCTAGCCAAGGACCATAGACCTTCCTGCCTTCTCTTAGTGACACCTCCCCCCTCCCCCGGGGGCCAGGGGCAGTCTCAAGGCTGACCTGTTCCTTCCCCTGGGGCCCTTTGGGCTGTGCAGTTCCCTCTGATCACACTGGCCTCAGCCCTTCAGAACACCCAGGGCCCAAGTGTCCTGGGTCACTTCTTCTGAGTTAGGGATTACTTCCTTCGGGCAGGATCTTGGCCGTGGAACGGGCCAGCAAGGAGGTGGGAGATGGAGTCCAGCAGGCTGTCCCACTCCCCATGAGACAAGTGAGCCCCCCCAGGGAAGGTGAGGCAGGACCCTGCTCTCCTGCGGGCGGGTTGCGGGGTGTCCACTCCAGGGTGGGATCGGTGCTCTTCAGCCCCGACCAGGCTGTTCTCTGCCAGCGCCTGCTCTGGGGACCTGCGGCCCCAACCCCCCCCCCCCGCGGGTGCCTCGGGCCACAGCCGCACCACCCCCAGCGGGGCGCCCAGCCCCGACCCCGACCCCAGTCCTGGGAACGTCCCCTCCCCTGTAGCGAACCTACCTTCCGAGGCGCGCCAAGGCCCTTTCCAAGGGTGTCACCGAGCTCCCCGCCTCCTTCTCCGGACGCGGGCTCCCGGCGCCCGCCGCAGCCTCTGGCCCCGGCCTCGCGGGCTGAGCCGGCTTCTGCCTCCCTTTCTCTCTGCTCCCGTGAATTCTCGGCACTATTCTTTTTTTAAGGGACTTTTTTTTTTTTTTTTGCGTTGCGTCAGGGCGGTTGCCTGGCGACGGCGGAGCTATTCGCCGCGAGCGGTTTCCGTCCGATCCCCGCCAGCATCTCATTCAAGCCTCTCCGCCCGCTGCTCCGGGGACCCGGGACCCGCGGGGTCCAGCAGACGCGCAGCCGGGTCCTAAAGCCCCGCTAGTTGCTCCTTCCCGCCAGGACCTGAACCGGAGCCCCCGCCCAGCCGCAAGGAGAAGCAAACCACACGCGTTTGCCAAACCCTGGACGAAGCCAAACCCAAATATCCATATCCATATATATATTTTTTTATTAAACCTGAAACCAAGGCAGTCCTTCCCTCAACCATGGCAACGTGGCTTTGCCGCTGTCAGCAGTTTGCCTGCGAGGAGGGGGCAAAAGAACGACCTTGCAGCTCGCGTGAGCAAGCCCAGAGCCTACACCCCATCCACAGGCGGCTTGAGTTCAAACTCCCGGCAGCACGTCCCACTGCTGAGTGCCTAATATATGCCGCACCATCCCAGCGACTCTGCAGGGCGGGCGTGGGCATTTCCAGCTTACGGATGAGGAAACTGAGGCTCAGAGCGGCTCCGTAGAAACCAGAGGTTAAGTAGAAACAGACGTTCTTCCAGATCGGTCTCCCAGACCAGCTGGGAGTAGTCCAGAGGGGCCTGCCCCAGAGCACGTGTTTTCCCCACAAACCACGGGATGCCTTACGGCATGCACTTCTCTGGGCTGTGTCAGCCACTAGAGATAATTATATTCTAAGGTCCAGTCCCTGCTGCACCAGAGCCTACAGCTCCAGGCACCTACAACGCATACGGGACCCAGCCAGGGCTGCCCCATCCTGGCCTTTAGGGTCAGTCCTGCCTGGAGACCCAGGGCTCTGGTCCAGAGCTCCTGGAACCTCTGACCCCAGGGCTGATTACTGGCAGTTGGCTTCATTCTTAGGGCGGCTTGGGACATGGCCAAGTTCCTTTCTTAAGACACTTGAGGTTGGCAGGATCCTTCAAAATGATCTAATCTGCCATCCTCACAACAACATGGGATGGGGGGTTGCAGGGTAGGCGTTGTTTTCCCCGCTAACAGATGTACACACTGAGGTGTGGGGCTGTAAAGTGACTTGCCCGGGTTCCGTGGGCTGGTCTGGTCCTGGCAACTCAGAGGCTGAGCCCCTTGTGCTGCCCCCTGGTGCCCCGTCCCTCACCGTAACTCCCCGTCTGGGCCCTCTCCCACTTCTTCCTTTCTGCCTTCGCTAGGACGGCTGCCAAGGGACGTTGCCTGAGGAGACATCCTGCTCATGTGAGCACCTCTTCATGCTAGCAGGTTAATGTTTCTAGCTCAAAAGTGTACTTAACGGGGATTTTTTGAAAAGTCACATCATCGACCCCACCTTGATTCTAGAAATACCGATCCAATCCTTCCCCTTCTTGCCATGCCCTTTGCCACCACCCTGGCCCAAGTCACCGTCAGCCTGCCCCAGCTCCAGCACAGCTTCTTACTGACTGTGACGCTCCCACTCTTGCCCCCGCCGCTGAGCCAGGACCCGAACACAGCCAGAGCACACGCTTCAAAATGGAAATCCAACCTTGGCTTCTCCCTGCTTAAAGCCCTCCAACAGCTCCCGTTCCTCCCAAGATTAAGACCCAGCATGGCCCATCAGGCCTGCGTGGTCTGGCTCTGGATTCCCCTTGGGTTCCACCTTGCATTGCTGCTCTGCTTTCCAGACAGACGTTCTTCTGGGTCCTTCTCCACACCTGCTCCTTCCACATGGGGCTGGCCACACTTCTGCCCCCTGAGGGAACCCCAGGTTATATGTCCTCATAGCCCTACCTGTCTCTCCTTCGTGGCCCAGTTGTAATTTTTATCTTTATTTGTGAAGTTATTTGATTAATATCTGTCTCCCTCCGAGGCTGTCGGCTGAACAGGACAGGAGCCACGTTTGCAGGCAGAGGGCTTGGTCTAGACTCAGGGACTCAGCCTTCTCTTGGGCTGGGTGTACCTGGCCACACGGGCCTGTGCTGAATACGGAGCATTTGGCCCACTGCTGTCCAGTATTCTGGCCCCAGCGTGTGGTAAGTGCTCCAGCATCTTCTTGGTGGAGCCATCCCACCGCATCTGGAAACGTTTTCTACCATCTTACCCTCCTAACTCCTCAGTCGGCATGGGACTCCTGCTCTGCTTATGAGTGCACTGTCTTCTGTCTTCACGTAGCCAGGCAGCCTGTCCGGGGCAGCGATGGGGTCTTACCCTGTGCCTCCCATTCAGCCTGGCATATGCCTGGGCAGGAAGGTAGTCAGTGATGAAGACCAGGAGAGTCAGCGAGGGGGGTGGAGAAGAGGAGGAACAGGGTCTCTGTTGGAACAGTCTCAACCCTAATATCTAACCCTACGCAGTGGTCAAATGAGTTATGTTTAGAGCTCTAGCATAGGGTAGTATGTAGCCATACAAATATTTTAAAAAAATATTTGATGATGTAGAAAAATGCTACTGATTTCATGCTAAGTAAACAGGGCAGGGATACCAAACGTCCAAGTAAGTAAGACATTACGAAAGCTTTAATTCTAATATCTAACGTCTAGTTTTTTTATATGTGGAGAAAAAAGATTAGGAGGGTATATGCATATATGAGCTGTGGATATCTCTGGGTGGTAGGCTAACAGGATTTAAAATTTCTTCTCTAGACTTGCATTAATTTTTTCTGTGTTTTCTACAATGAATAGTTTTTGTGAGTAGCAACATCAGGAAATACCGCTACGAACTAAAAACGGCCCTGTGTTTAGGGTAGCTGAAGTCTCCTGCTTTCTACGGCCTTTTATGCCTTTTACGTGGGGCACTGCGAGGCTAGGCTGAAGCCCGGTGATGGGTCGGGGATCCCCAGGGCCCAGAGCGGTGGGGCCATCTGGGGGCTCTTCCCCGCAGTTGGCCATGTGGACCAGGGAACGCTGGGCCAAGCCTGCGAGAATGAGTCAGGACAGCACGCTCGTTCTAGGGCTGCCTTTTGGGGTGGTCTGGTTATCCGATTTGACTTTCCTGGGGCAAGACGTGATGATCTATGAGCTGGCCGGCCCCGGTGTCTGGAGCACTTTCGTGAGCGCATATGCCGGCTGATAGCAGCCTCACTGATATCAGCCCAGTACTTTACGGGTTACGGAGCCGTCTCCTTTCCAGCAGTCCCGAGAGGGGTGGGACAAGAGCTGTGGGAGTTGACACCAGGGAGGTGACGCGGTGGAGGTACTGGGGAAGATCCTGTGGACCTGGACCATGGTAAGGCCTCGCCTTCCTCCCAAGGGGATGCACAGGATGCACAGCTCGGCCCTCCCACATGGCAAAGCTTTATCTAAATTCAGCTCACCTGGGCCTGCTGGCGTATTTAAGCTACTCAAGGGCAAACTCCGTTGTCTAAGGCTCCTGGGGATCCCTCAGGGTGATTCAGATTTGGTCCCCATTCACTGACTGAGAGAAGGAAGGAAGAATTTTCTGTTTGGCCGGATTGTATGGCCACACCCTCTCCTGCTCCAGGCAGCAATGAGGACTTGTGGTCCTGGGCCAGAGTCTACCAGCTCCCACCGTCTGCCTTTAGGAGAGACTTTCCCATCCGGGGGCCCAGGGTGTCAAGAGGATCCAGGAAGTGTCAGTCATTTGGCATCAACACTAGCAATAGTAATGGCTCTTTTCTGCCCTTATCTCTCCGGAGGGGTTAATTCAGACTGAACACAGAAGGGAGATGGGAGGGGGGTGGGCAGTGTCCCCTCTTATGGGGAACTCATTAGTTCAATGAGCGTTTGTGGGCGGCTCACTCTGTGTCACCGGGTGCTTGGCATTGGGCTACGGTGCCGGGAGCTGATGAGTGTAGGAAGATAATTAACAAAGCTTTGACCTTAGAACTGGAGTCAGGGAGGTGATGGATACCGTGTAAGCCCAGATGAGGATGAGTGGGAGCTGGTTAGGAGAGGTTTTGGGGAGACCTGAGGTGCGGTGCAGCAAGAGAGGGAATCATGTGTGCAGGACAGAAATGTACTTGAACAGACTACGAGAGGGCATGATGGGCCCAGAGAAGGCCTCTGGACACGATCCTGACGGCAAGGGGTTAAGAAGGGAGGGTGTCATGGCTTTTGTTTCTCAGAGAGGCCGAGTGGATGTGGGGACCAGATGGGAAGCAAGGCGACCAATAAAGAGATTGTTTCCATTTTACTGGCCCTAAAAGTCTAGACTCACGGCAGGGAGGGGCTCACTGCATCTCCCGGGTGAGGATGGGTGATGGGGAAAGTAGCACGGTGAAGAGGAACTGTCTGGAGGCAGGCAGACTCAGAATCATTATCTAGAAGATGCTGCAGAGAGTATTTCTAGGCCCAGCACCGGCACATCCTAGTGACGACTGGAAGGAGGCCTTCCTGGGCATGTGCAGCATTTGAAGGAAACCCGAAATGATTCCACTAATGTGGCAGTGAAGCAGCCCTGATGGGCAGGGGCGAGCCTTCTAGATTCTTCTAAGCGTTACCTCACCCAAGAAGCCTGGTTCCTTTGAATGATGGAAAGAGCTCTGGATAGGAACCAGGAGATCCAGACTCCAGTTCTGGATCTGTAACCACGTAGACATTTGTCAAATCACTTCACACCCCCCCTCCCCTCCCGCCCCGCATTGGATGGTTTCCTTCTCACCAAAATGAGGGGTTCAAGCTCTGGCATCTTCTGACCCACCATTCCGTGATACTCCCCACCCATCTGTCATGCTGGGCAGTGGCAGGGGGCAGGGCCAGAAACTGCAAAGTGGGAGGGTCTGGCACATACCGCATGTCTGGGCCAGCAAGGGGTCCAAGCCAGTTAGACAGAGGCTGGGATGACAGCTCGCAGGTGAGGCACTCATGAACATATCCTGAAGGAGAGCCTACTTGTTCTCTGCCCTGCTTTTAAACTGGTTGGGGGGCTGGGTGGGTGATGAGGTGGTCACAGAGCCACAGGTGGAATGAAGATGTCTAGGGCCTGCCCAAGAGCTCTGCCCCTTCAGGAAGAGAGCAGAAGGATGCCCAGCTGCTTCACAAACTGAACGTTGCGCCCAGCAGCCAAGCCAACAGCTTTTGCTGATGAGTTCATTCTTTTCATTTCCACCAGCCAATGTCTGATGGTACCAGAGGCCAGGGGTGGGTGTCAGGAGGAGACATTGTCGCACACAGACATGAAGTTGGACTTAATCATTCTGTCACCAAGAAAACCTAGACCATATGCATGGGTTCTCCAGGCAGATCCAGACCTGCTCACGGAAGGTAACAGAGTTCTGGTCATCGGTCACAGAGCACGGGGGAGGGATTCTAGGGGAAACTGGTCCGTGGGTCTTCATATTCAGCCCCTTTCCAGGAATTCTAGCCGGAGGACAGAACTCCCTACCTGGGACCAGAAACCCCCTTATACTTAACTGCTTTCCAAACATCAGCTCAAACGGACTGCCCCCATAGGTGTGAAAGCAAGCCGGATACACACTTCCTCTCCCGCCCCATCCTGACCGGTGAGGTTGGAAGGAAGTATATTGTGGTGCACGGTTCAGGCTTCGGGAACCCTGGGTCTTTTCCTGGCTCTGTCACTTGCAGTTGGGCTGCTTGGGGCCAATATATAACCCTTC